AGCCAGGAAGGACTTGGCCACGGTACGAGCTGGCGTCTGCGTATGCGATCTTGACCACGCCGGCCTTGGCTTCGGTGGCGAGCACCACCAAGTGGCATTGCCGCCTCCGGCTCTTGGCCTCGGACGCAAGGCTCATGGCCTGCATTTCGTGCGCGAGATCGCCGCGCGGCCGCCGCAGAGCGCTGGGCTTGGTCGGGCTTGCCTGCTGCACCTCGTTGCACGAGGTCTCCTTGGCGAGCGTGTTGCGGCGACCGGCCTTGGCGCGGGGCATGGCCGACAAGACCAGTCACTAGCGTGGCTCAAAATGATGGTTACGCCACGCTGTGATTAAATTGATGTATTTGTGAATTCAAAGTTTGCGCTATCGCATACAAAGAGAAGGATATACGCATTAAAATGAAAGAGGTACTGTATTTTATTGCATCTCGAATCTTGACAATCGAAAATTAGACCATCACTCCTAGTCCGGATAATAAGCAGGTATCCGGTACAAGCGGACTGGTGCCGAAATTTGCCTCGAGGCTTCCTCAGTAGTACTCGACACTGCAGAGCGGAAGCCGTGGTTCGGTCCAACTTGCACTCTCCGAGTTCCGAGGCTCGCCACTGCCCTCTGTGCAAGCCCGCGGAACGTTCAACCATCTCTTTGTGCGCTGCCTGAACGTCCGCGCGATCTGGCGCGCTTTTGCACCGATGCGGGATTTCTTGAAGATGCAACCGTCGTTAGTCGCTGGCTTTCTCTACTAGTTTTGCGCTGTCACCACGCCGTAGTCGGATTACAAGTCGTCCACTCATGCCCTCAGGCCGATCTTACGCGCTTGCGTCTGGTATTGTCGTTGGCTCGAACACAACAACGGTATCTTCCGCACAAAGCTGACGAAACTTCCCGCTGCTGCACTAGCGATCCAGGCAACGTCACTATCATACGACTGCATGTTCGGCACTTGGCACTGTGGTGTCGTCGCTCGACGACCCTTGGTGCGCGCGCCACGTTGTCCCTCACACAACCCCGAGCCATGGCCACTAACGCCCCTCGCTTGACGCACCGGCCACGTCCCTGCACGAGCGATTTTGCAAGTGGTCAAGAAAAGCCGTGAACAAGGCTGTCATTCCGCTCTCTTCCTTTGCATCGACGTGGCAGCTGTACCGTCAGGGCTCTGGACCAAGCTGCTGACAGGCATTTTGTTGTAGTCTGCTGCCTCATCGACCACACAACCGACGGCGCGTCGTTAACACCCTCGACGTGCACCGGTGACCATAAGGTCGTGAATTCCCCAGTCGCAGCTTGGTTGAATAGCGTCGACCCTGATGAGCAGGCAGCGTTTGGTGGATGCTTGAACATTGTCCTTTCCTCGCGTCAACTCAACGATACATCAACACCACGACACGCCTCGTGCGTGGTTACTCCAGACCCTCGTATGCACCGAGGCCGTTTGGCCGAGTATACGCCGCCTTGTACATTGCTTGCACCTGAATACACTGGTACATTGAAACGCCGCTCACCAGACGCGTCGCCCTGCACTCCTGCGCTCATTCTCATGGGCCGAGTGCGTCGTGACTGAAGCGCTTGTCTTCTACGCGCCGCTGGAAATCAATGGCTGCCAGCGCGCGCGTTGCAACAGCGAGACGACGATTGCTGTCGCAAACGAAGATCGTAATCGTGATTGACACGACGCACGTAGCAGCAGCAAGGACTGTCGACGGCGTGTACTGGTAATAATGCACCCAGAGAAAGCCTCCCCCGATAGACGTGCAATTGGATGGAAAGCAGCCCCGCTGTGCGCATATGAGCCGCGTTTTGCGCTCCAAGATTTGAGCAAGGGCGACGCGTCAGAAGTATCGCAGCATGACGAAGGGGTGACCTCGTGTGCCGGTACGATCCCCGGCGCAGGAGTATGGCCGCCACTTGGCGGCGTGTCCCGATCGCACTTCGATGCAGCCGCAGTGTCACCCACCCGTGTACGAACACCAGTGCTTTCGTTCTTTAAAGCGCTGGCAGTACGCTGCATCGAAAGGAGCGGCCTTGGACGAGCCCTGTTTCGTCAACGACGACGGCGCGACCGCGGGTACCTACTCTGGAAGCGACCTAGACACGAAAAGCTGATGCGAGGATGCCCGTGAACGAAGCCATCCAAGCTGGGTGATCGCATGGTTGCTGTTGGGCGTCGTCGTCTCGACACCTTTACAGCGAGCACACATACAATGCGCGAGTCGTTTGCGTGGCACCCATGCCGCCAACCCGAGAGGCACGAAGAGGTGCACACGTGCACGAAAGGACACGCTTGGGCGCCATCTGGGACTGTTTCGCCAACAGAAGGCTGATCTGGAATCAGGCCGCGCGAGACGTGCGGCAGTCGGCGCGTGTTGCATCGACCTGGTCCGCGCTCCCTTCAAGAAAGACACCTCGAACCCCGACAACGACCCACGACGAGAACGACGGGAGCTACATGTACGGGAGCGCTGTCAAGTAATACTTGGCAGAGGATACTACTCCTTGTTTAATGCTGCTGCTGCATGGCCTTGTCCATGCAAGGCTGCACCCAGCGGGCTGTTGCGCACGACGGAACTACCGTCCGTTCGTACATATCTATGGGCAGGGTTCAACTTTTCCTTTCCAAGGCTACACCTGCTGGGTTGGTCGCAGGCTGGGTGGGTCGCAGGCTGGGTTGGTCGTGTGGCGGGCGACAGCCAACGAGACCTCCATTTCGTTTGCTCATTTTCCGTTTTACCAACGCCTTCCCACTACTACAATGAAGTTCACGTCCGCCATCCTCGCCGCCGCCGTCGCCACGGTCGCCGCCGCTCCCTGCGATCCCATTGCCCTTAGCACCTCTTTTGGTGCGGTCATTGGCATGCCCGAGCATACTACGTGCCAGGAGGCGTCGGGCTTCTCCCTCATCAACTTGGCGTTGAACGTTCTCCCGACGGCCGAGCAGGGCAAGACCATGGCCACCAACGCCGACTGCAAGAAGCTCTACGCTGCCATGCAGAAGGCCTCCGCCACGGTCACGCCCTCGTGCACGATCGCCGGTGTCGAGCTCAGCGCGATCGCCACGATGCCCTTGGAGAAGGTCTTGGCTGCCTTTGCCAACGGTGGCAAGGCCGATGCGTCGACGACGGCCCCATCTGGTAAGACCGACGCGGCGACGACGGTTCCGGCTGGCAAGCCCGCCAACACGACCGCCCCCGCCGACATCACGAAGCCCTCGACCGCCCCGAG